TACAAGATGCATATTTGGAGGTTTCAAATTGGGATCAGCTTTTTTTTTATAAAGTTCACACATAAATTATAAATCCTGTATGGTTTGTCTGGAAATTAAATCTGTAACTTTTGAAATAAGACCAGGCTATCAGTACCCTCACAATACTTTTGCTCTCGTGAATACTGGACGTAGGAATCAGTTTTACTATTTTTTATATTGCCAGTATAATTGATGACTTGATCAAAAAATAATGCCATACCACTTCTGACAAACTTTTTCCCCTTCTCTATGATTAGTCCTTAATATGGCTAGAAAAATTGGTACGGTGAAATTTCCTGGTAAATTACGGTATTTAAAAGAAAAATTGGTAAATTACGGTAAAATTTGCTGCAACTTGTATAATATATTAAATTGAGCCATGTATTCGCTCAAGTCGAATGATAGTATCGTGTAGTCAAGTTGAAGAAGTACGATAATATGGTAAAACATTGCCACATATTATTGCCATATATTGAAGTAATTGCCACATGTTGAAGTAAATTTGAACGATATTCTGGTCCAACATCCTCCAAAATGTTTTACAGTAAATTACGCGGTGTAAGAAAATTTGGGGCAAGTTTTAAACCTTCATATAGCTCATATTTTCAATAACCTTAATGCAATTTCCAAATTGTTTTTTAAGCCTTGTATGGTTAGTGTATCGTGTACTGTAAGCAAATTTGGATCATGTTGAACCTTCATATTATTCAAATTTTCGATTACCTTCAGACAATTTCCAAAAAATTTTTTATTTTTTTTAGATTAAACTTTGCATGGTAAGTGCATGGTGAACTCTAAAAAATTTGAAGCATGTTGAACCTTCATATTGCTCAGATTTTCGATTATATATAACAGTTGGGCTGAAAAGTTCGTAGGCTGACACATAGATGGGGCTACTATTATTAAAAACATATGATTTTTTGTTAGTTCTAACCTTCCAAAGACACGTGTATAAATTTGACAGCTGTCGGACTAACAGTTTGTGAGATATAGTATTTTTAGAGAAGCAACTTTTGTTAGTTTAAAAACAATGGATGAAAAGGAATTTCGCGTGTTTATAAAGCATTGTTTTCTAGTGAAAAAAAATGCTCTTGAAGCCAAGACTTGGCTTGAGAAACATTATTCGAACTCTGTACCAGGAAAATCAACCATTGAGAAGTGGTTTGCTAAGTTTAAACGAATCGAAATGAACACTAACGAAGATGCGCACCGTGGACGCCCCAAAGAGGCTGTTAGCGACGAAAATATCAAAAAAGTCCGCAAAATAATTTTAGATTACCGTAAAGTGAAGTTGATCAAAATATCTGAGACCCTAAAGATATCAAAGGAAAGTGTTAGACATATCGTGAATGAATATTTGGGTATGAGAAAGCTCTAGGCAAAGTGGGTGCCGCACGAGCTCACAATTGACCAAAAACAACAACGAATTGATGATTCTGAGCTGTGTTTGAAGCTGTTTAATCGTAATAAATCTGAATTTATGTGGCGATATATGACAATGGGTGAAACATGG